TTGTCATTTTATTTTTATCAAAATTTTATTTGATCTTACAACAAAATTAAAAAATTAAACAGCAATTTAAGTAATTATTTGAATAATAAAACTTTCATTTCAAAAATAATTGTATTTTAGAGTTTTTATAAATTATTTAATATAAAATAAGATAACTTTATATATACATATATATATAAGATTTTATATATAAATATTTTATATAATAATTATTTATATATAATTATTATATAATTTTATATATACATATATATATAAGAATACCATTTTAAGATTTATTATTTTTTCCATAAAACGACATTCTTCTTAGTCTGTATAATTTTCTGAGACTTCCATCATTTCGCAGAAAACTACTTCTAATTCCAAGTAATAAGCTTCCGACGAAGAAACCAACAATTACGCAAGAAAATTGACAATGATGCAATAGAAATCTCAAATTGTATATACTTCATAATCATTTCATGATGAAAAGTTATTACAATATTATTTTTAATTTTGAATTTAATCTTTTTTTTCCTGAAGTTCAAAATTTTGTTAAAAAGCAAATATTATTTTTATATTTTTTAAAATTATATAAAAATAAAGAAAAAAAGATATACACAATGAAATTTTATTTCTTATATTGCAAAACATATTCTCAATATTTGAAACATATATATAAATATGTTAAGTTGTTTTTAATATCTCTTTCTATTATTTCTCTGATTTCTCTTATTTTTTCGACCGTTTCTTTTACGTCTTTGATCAAGCAATTTACGTGCTTTTAGAATTTGTTCTGGCCGCTTCAATTCATTATTTCTTTTAATTTTTTCTTTTATCTTTTGATTGTGTCGCGCCCAATGTGTATTAGCTATTGTTTTCACTAAAATATATAGAAAATTTATATTTATATATATATCATACATATGCTAATAGATATTACTAAATAATCCAAATGACATCTATACATACATTTCTGTATTTGTGAAGATTCTTCTTCACTGTTATCGTCATTTGTAACATCAACTTTGCTTTTTTCTTTCCAAGTTGAATAACGATTTGATTTATAACTAGCAGGTATCCAAACTCCAGACTCAGTTCGTATTTTACGAACATTTTGTTCCTGAAAAAAATTTTTCTTTCAAGTATTTTATTTTCTATAAATTTATTAATAATTTCAAATTACGTACATTGTTAATAGTAATTATTTTCTTTTTTTTACGATCCCATTTTTTAATTTGTGTTTGTAATCGTTGAGATTCTTCATTATCAGCAGTTAAATCCATTTGCACTTTTTCTGCTTCCGTATTAAAAGAATTAACTGCTAAACTGTAAGAATATAATTAAATATAATATATATGCAATAAAAATATTTATTTTATTATTAAAAGCTTACCCTTCTTCTGTATGTTTATCGGGAGCGTAATATGGAATGAAAAATTCTTCATCTCGTATTATTGATCGTTTTTTCTTTTTACGTTTATACAAATCATCGAGATTTCTTTTCTTTGGAAGCACAATTGTATTAAATGCTGTATTGATTTCATCACTTGTACTTGATGGAAGATCCACTGTTCTTGATAAATCTATAATATATACTTTCAATTATTAGATTACAAATCTATATTAATGAAATTTGTATTAAATAATTTGTTTATTAAAATTTGTATTTACCTTCCGATTTTTTTTTAATTTTTAATTCATCTACTTTTCTGCGAAAATTTATAATATTTTCTTTGTGTAATGTACGTTTTTTTTTCATAACCTGATAATCAATGGAAGATGTCTTTGCTCCAATTTCAAATATTGTCTGAAATATTTATATTTAAAAATTAAATATTATGTAACTATGTAATTATGATGTAATTTTATAATATGCATACTCCTTGTGGTCTGTAATTTACTATTTTTGATAATAAATTCATAGTATTTGAAGAAACATCAGAATATTCTGGTATAACTCCTGCTTCACTTATATGTAAGTCTTTTACTCTTTTAATACTTTCTGATGATGCTGCAGGTCGTGATCGAATATATTGTTTATATGCATTACTGCAAACTTTTTCCATATTTTTCTATGTATAAATTTAATAAAATAGAAATATAAAATCATTAATAATATTTTTTTAAATAATTACATTAAAATACATACAAGATCTGTGGAACAATTATGCCAATTTATTAACTCTGCAAGTTCTTCTTCTATCATTGCTTGTGGCATTTTACCAATAATACCATCTGTATTTTGTATGGATCCAGAAGATGGTACAATATGTAATGAACGTCCAAGAAAAAGATGTAAATCTAGCAAATAAGCATATTCGTCTGGACTAACAATATTATATGCAGTACCAGTACGACCTGCTCGTGCACAACGACCTAGATAATATGAATACTATATAAGATATATATTTCATTATATTATAATATATAATTATTATTATATATATTATTATATATAATTATTATTATATATATTATTATATATATTAATTATATTATATGAGAGAAGATATGGAGCCAGTTCATTACTCTATAAATAATAATTTTAATAAAAATAAATGAGAAATATAATTTTATATAATTTAATATAAATATTTTTTTATAATTACATAGAGAATATATGAAGATTAAGTTTATTTTTCTAAACAAAAATATATATTTTTTATTCTGTCATTTATTTTAATTGATAATCTATGCTGAAAATATACTAAGAAAAAGTTTTAACTCATAAAAGAATATAAAAGAAACCATTAAAAGTTAAAATGCATTGTTGCAGCAAATATTTTAATTTGATTTTTGCAAAATTTTTTATAAGAGAAATAAGAAATATGCAAGTTCTTTCCTTTTTTGCTTTTTTTAAATATAATAATAAGTTTTACAATTCAAATTAAAATATCTTTTTAACTATTAATTTTTTATTATAAATTTAATAATTTTTTAATAAAGTAATAATATTAATTAATGTATTAAAAAATATATAATTTCATTTAAAAATCTATAATCAGTACAATATAATCATTTACAATCTTCGTTTTCATGTCGTTTTCATGTCAGTTGCATTATTATAAAAAATCATCATGCCAAATTATATTTTGTTTGAAACTAATCAATTTTTATCTCAAACATTTTTCAAAATCATTACTTATAAAATAATTGAAATATTTAATTATATGTTTTAGCTTATAAATTAACATCTAATTTAAAATATTTACTTACCTACTCTATGTACAAAAAGTTTTGATTTTGCAGGAAAATTAAAATTAATTACATTATCTAAATGTGGAATATCTAAACCTCGTGCTGCAACATCTGTTACTATTAAAACATGGACTTTATTAGTTTGAAATTTAGCTGCATTTATTTTTCGAGCTGATGCATCCAAATTTGAATAAATATATGTATTAGAAATTCCTGCTTTTTCTAATATCTATTAATGAAATATGATTATTATATATGAAATAGTATATTAATATTAAATTACAATAATTAATATTAATTGCAAACATCAATTTCATACCTGATGAATATATTCAACATGATGCATTGTTGCAGCAAATATTACTGTTTGAGTATTATTTTTAATAACATTTTTTAATAAACATAACAATATTGCTAATTTTTGTTCTGGTCGACTTATTATAAATGAAAGTGTTAATTGTTCTGGTATTTTATTTTCTACATCTAAACGTAATAAAACAGGATCATTTAAACCAATCTTTGCAAAATCTACTAAAAGTTTAGGTAATGTTGCAGAAAATAATAATGTTTGTCTTGATTCTGGTAATCTATTTATAATTTCATTAATTTGTTCACCAAAACCCATTTCAAATAATCTGTATAATATAATTTATAAATTAATTTAATAAAAAAAAATTATAATTTAAAGAAAACATATATATATAAATATTCACCTGTCAGCTTCATCAAAGACTACATACTCTATATTATTTAATTGTAAATCCATTTCTATGCATATATGTAAAAATCTTCCTGGTGTTGCTATTAATATATCAGGATTTCCATGAATTGCACTAAATTGATTTTCCATATTATCACCACCCAAAATTATAGTTGCTTTTAATCCTGTAAATCTGCCTAATTCTTTTATGAACTTCAATGTCTGTAATGCTAGTTCTCTAGTAGGTGATAAAATTAAAGCTCTTGCACCAGCTTTTGCTTGTCTTGTTTTAAGTTTTTCAAATAAAGGAATTAAAAAACAAGCAGTCTTTCCACTACCTGTTCTAGCCATGGCTACTATATCACGGCCTTCTAAAGCTAATGGAATTGTCTATAAAAACATTACATATTTTATATCATAATAATCATACAATAATAATCAAATATAATAAAATAAAAAATAATCTATTAAATTATATGCCAGTTATAAATAATATTATTCATTTATAATTATAATAATTATAAATATTATTCATTTATTTTGATTAAAATCAGTTTACCTTTCTTTGTATAGGTGTTGGTATTTTATATCCACGCTTCAATATTCCTTTTAATATAGGAAAACTAAGGGCCATAGATTGAAATCCTCCTGATTTTTTATATACTTTCTTCTTAATATTATTAATTTCATTTTCTTCATCATTATCATTTATTTCTTTTGGATCAGCAAATCCCACAATATTTATATTTTTCATTTTCGAGATTTACAATTTGCTTTGATAACAATACACATGTAAATATTAACCTTAAAAATATAAAAGTAAGTATATAATGTAATTTTTTACTCTTTTTATAACTATAATAATTTTAAATTGTAAATATTTCCAATTTAATAATTATTATAAAAACTTCTATTGTATATTGTTAGATAAAAATTCATTTTATAATTATTATCAAAAAATAATTGTCTTCTTTGTTATATGTATTAAAAGGAATTTATAACTAATATCTTTAATTTCATAAAACTATCTGTATTAAAAATTATTAAAAATTTATAGATATTTCTATTTAAAATATTTATATTAAATGCATTTAATTCATTTACTAATATATTTAATATTATTAAATATAAAATTTAATTTTAAAGAATTGGTACTATTTAATATATATTCCACCATATTGTATATATGGTAAAGTCAGCCATTTTTGTGAAATCCGTCTTTTCTTGATAATTGAACATGAAGTAAGTGGAAGTTTTTCTATTAAAGAAGTATATCTATTAAATTAAATGCAATCATAAAAAATTATTTCAACATATTGCAAGAATATATTATTAAAATATTTCTAATAAATATGATATTAATCTTTTCAGGATCGGGCTTTGTGCATACAGTGGATATAAAATATATCCCGGTCATGGTAAAACCATGGTAAAAGTGGATGGAAAAGTATGTTTAATAATTAATTATTTTTTCTTAAATTATTATTAATATTTTTCTTATTTTTTCTTAAATTCTCATTATTACTATTTATTAATTTTTATTTTCTTACATTTATTCGATATCTCTAACCTCTATATTTTTTTAGACATTCACTTTCTTGAATTCAAAATGTGAATCTGCACATTTAATGAGGCGTAATCCAAGAAAAGTCACGTGGACTGTATTATATAGGTATATTTATTTTTAATTTTTTAAGTTTTTAAGTTTCAATGATAAAAGCTAGCCTCATCTTATAAAGTATAATTTAATATTATAGACGAAAACATAAAAAAGGACAAGAAGAAGAACAAGCAAAAAAAAGAACAAGACGTACTCAAAAATTTCAACGTGCTATTGTAGGTGCATCTCTTACAGATATTTTAGCAAAACGTAATATGAAACCAGAAATTCGTAAAGCACAGAGAGAACAAGCAATTAAGTAAGTATTGTTCCAAAACTTAAACTTTTGTCTCAATTTATATCACAATTATATCATTCAATTTAATCACAAAGATTAATTACACAATGAAAAAAATTAAAAATTTATAGACATCTGTTCCTTAGATATGATATATCATTTCATGTTTGATTTCAGAATGTCTTAGAATAAATGAATTGCTTCACCCAGAATTGTTATATTCATTACACTGTCTGGCTTTTGCGGGTTCATACAAATCTTATATATACATATAAATATTATTATATATGATATAATATAATTATTATATAAAATATAATATTTATATGTATACATCTTATATTTATCAAAATATATGTATATAAAATAAATTCTATTTTAGAGCTGCAAAGGAACAAAAGAAAGCTGCAAAAGCAACAAAGAAAGCAGTTGTACCTCCTAAAACAAAGGCTATTCCAAAACATAAAGCTGCAAAAATAACACAAAAATCAGCTCCACGTGTTGGAGGAAAACGTTAAATTTTAGCATTGTATAAATAAAAATATACTTTATATTTAAGTAATTTATTTTTTATTTCAATTTCCAAACAATATTTTCATCAATTAAAATACTGAGTACTAAGATATTTTAATTTTTGTTTTAAAAATATTCAAAAACAAAGATTATTCGAAACTTAACAAAATTTTTTGCAATTTAAAAAATTTTGATTCTTAAAACTTTTTATTATTTTTATAATTCGAAATTCAAAAAATAATTTGTATTAAAAACTTAAATAAAACGAAAATATTATAATGATATAAATTTATTTTTATTTAATTAATAATAATCGAATTCTAAATTTGAAAAACTTAAAAATCAAAACTTATTAAGATTTTATTTTTTAATAAATAAATATTAAAAAAAAAAAAGGTAGTTTCGAAACTTGATGAAAATTCGGGTAAAAATTTCGTGAATCTAAAAATCAAATTGTTAACGAAATTCAATAAAAATTTCATACAAAATAACTTTTAAACACATTATATTTGTTACAATTTTAGTTAATAAACAATTTCAACATTTTAATATAATAACAATTTTTTTATTTTTTCTTATTCAATTCTTTTTTTAATAGAGATAATTTTGTCAAAGCATCATCTCTCCATATACGTCTTTCTTTTAATTTTTCTAGTGGACACATCTCATTTAATTCATTGCTAATTTTTTCTGCCATTTCTCCCTCAAATTTAGGAACTGGACCAAATGTCATACTTACATCATAAATTGAATTTTTATACGTTTCACAATATTTTTTCATTCCTGAGAAAAATGCAATTAAATGATTTAATAAATTATTTTGCTTTTTAAGAATTTATATATACCTTCTGCATTTAAATGTGCTGCTTCAAATGCACCAAGAAATGCATATCGCATCCCAAGACCTTCACTCATAACTGCGTCTACATCTTTCGCATTTAATATTCCGTCAGCAACTAATCTCCATGCTTCATTTAAAATTGCATATCTAAAGTAAACAATATTTTTATATATTATTTATATACTATATATTATATAATATTTTCGATAAATATATAAAAAATATATAAAAAAGGAAAAGAAGATTATAAATTTAAAAAAATTTAAAAAGTTCATATTGTAAAAATGTTACATTACTGTATTCGATTAAGCACAAAACCATCAATTTCCCTAGTTAGTACAACAGGTGTTTGACCTATTTCAGTCATAATAGCTTTCACTTGCAATGGTATTTCAGCACGAGTCCAAGGAGCTGGCACAATTTCTACAAGTGGTACATAATACGGAGGATTTACCTATATTTAAAATAATATAATTAGTTATTTATTTTTACAAAATTTTTAAGTTGAAAGAATTTGTTTATAAAGATTTATACAGATTGTTTATACATTTTATAATTAATAAATCATAAATATTATAATTTAAAATGGGAAACATGAATATAAAAAAAATTTTTATAGACAAAATTAAATAGTTTCGAATAATGCATTAAAAGATGCATATGCATTACTTGAAACTATTTTATTTCATGAAACTTTGATTTATTTTCTAATTAATTTAAAATTATGATTTGACTTGATTATATATGAATATTTATGATATATACGAATATTGATTATACATAGTTATATTATATTATACTTATCACTATTATATATACTTATATATACATATAATTTAGTAATATGCATACATACCGGGTGTGATACAATAACTTGTTCACGATGTTTTAAATTTTCGCTTAATAAAGAGGGACGAAAAGTAGATGTTGAAGAAGATAAAATAACTTTATCATCAACTAAGTTATCGAGTTCATTATAAAGTTTAAGTTTTAATGGTAAATTTTCAGGCACACATTCTTGTATTAGCTTAACCCCTTTTACAACTTCGACTAAGTTAGTTGATCCTGTTGATAATTGATTAAATTAATTAATAATATATATTTTGAATTGTTTAATATTGTTTTTGAATTATATTATATAATATAAATTTTATGTATAATTATACATGTATATGAACCTTTAATCAATTTAAATTGTTGCTCCGCGGTAAGTGCACCTCTCAAAAGACCGCTATTTTCAAGATGCTTTAATTGCTGATGAATATCTTCAAGAGCTCGAGTGATTTGTTCTTTTACAATGTCATAAATAATTACTTCATATCCTACACTAGCAAAAAGCATTGACCAACTGCGACCAATTAAACCACTAAAATAAATTATTATTATTATGTTTTATTGTTATTATTTTATGTTATTATTTTATTACGTTATATTAATATTTTCGATATTCAATTTATATATTAAATTGAATTAATATTTTCAATATTATTATATATATATTTTATGTTAATTTGTTATTATAAATTGTATTATTTAAGTTAGATAAACTTAAACTTGGGATTTCATATATAAACATATAGCATTATGTTATGTTCGATATATTATTAAAAGAAGAGAAAATTTTATATAATTCTCTGTTGTTTACTATTTAACTTTTCTGTTATTATCTTATCAATTTAAGGGTATCAGTAATAGAATTTTTAAACGAATTATAATTTCAAAATAATTTTTAGATAAATATAATTCTCTTTTTTTTATAAATAATTTTCTTTTTAAATTTATAGTTGTATATGTTTATTAAAAAATACTTATTATATTATATGTATATATTATATAATTAATATATTATACATGATATTAAATGTGAAATTATAAATGTGAAAATATATAAAAATATTTAATAACTTTATAAAATAAGTTAATTGAATAATTATTGTTTGTTAAAAATAATTTTATTATAATAATATGAAATGATATAAATATGTATAAATCACTAAATCATCTTTAAATAAAAACTAGTTAATATTTTTAATTATTTTATATTTAATTAAATTTTATTACCTGCCAATTATACCAATTTTTTCATTCTTAAAAGACATCGTTGGCTCTCTGAATATCACTTTACAATATCGAAAGTTTACTGCATGAAGTTCGTACTTAAAGTGTTAATAATTGTATGTTATTCGTCACTATATATTTAGTATATAACTTGCATTCTTATCTCATAATGTACGTATATATATAAATATATATATGTGTATGTATATGTGTGCTTATAAGATAACTCCATCATCGATTTTGTAAAATATGATTATAATTAAATTCGATTATTATGTTTGATAGCTATTAATCATCTGGAAATTTTATATATATATATATATATTTATATAATTAATTATGTATAGAAAATTGAATGAAAAAAATAGATTAAAATTTAATTATTTATTTCTTATTGAATAAAATCCAAAGATATAAATTTTAAAATTGGAATTCATAATATTAAAAATTATATATTTTTAAAAATGAGTATTATTTACGCATATATTTATTGAATTGTTTATTGAATCTAATCAGCGATTATATAAATAAAGTATATCATTCGTAAAATTATAGATAATATACATTTTTAATCTTGCATAGAAATATTCCAAAGAAAACATTAATTTCTAATTAAATTTTTATTTATTGAAAATAAGTTTGGTTTATGTTTCATTTAGAATTATAGTTTTATGAAATACGAAAATTTATATCAATATTGGGTTATATTTATAATTTATAATTTTAACAATATAAATTTTTAAAATTAAATTCTTAAAATTAATATTTTTTAAAACTCATCAAAATCTAAGTAATTGATAAAAAAATATATAAAAAATAAATATTCTCATAATCTAATTTTAATCAAAAGATATTCATTTATTTTATTTGTAAATTAAATATAGTCGATATTTAATTATTTATTATCTAATTATTTATAGAAATTCATACAATTATTCATACAAAATTAAGAATTTATATAAAATATATTGAACTCAACATTAGAATTGAATTTGAGGATTCAATAGATTGTTAATATTAATATTCTCGCGGAAAATTAATTTTTAAGAATGATTAATTTTTATATGGGGAAAAACCTACCATATCTGATCAAGGTTATATATGCTGACGCATTATTAGGATAAATAATTTTAATGTTCGGTGAGTGCATGAACGTCGTATAGAATTGATACGTAAGAGTTGTACTCAATTTAAAGTTTGTTTTATTTTTATATTTTTTAATATCTAATATGTTAATTATTTCTAAATATTTGAATTAAATATTTATTTAATTGTGTAATAATTTTCTAATAACATAATGCCTGAAATTTATGAGAATTATACAACTTTAAAATCTATCTCTGAAGACCAAAATTTTTTTTCTTATGGATATGGTAATTATCAATTTGTTTTTAATTTTTATAATTAATTTTATTTTAAACAAATATTTTACAAAAAAATGAAATTTTGCAAGAGTAAATAAAAAAAATATATATATTATTATATATATATATAAATATATATATTATATATATATTATTCTTTTTAAGTAATGAACAATCAAGATATTTGTAGTCCACTCTATGGATCTCAAGGAACAGCAAGTATTAATTCACCTATGTCTACTGTATTATCATCATTATCGGATACTGAATTTTTATCATTAAAAGATGCAATAAGTATATTTTGTAATATTTAATTTTTTTATATTAAAATATTTTAAAATATATTTTATTATTTTTCTTTAAGTTATTGAAACACCATATATAACAATTTTGGAGCAACCAGTAGATAAATTTAGATTTCGATATAAATCAGAAATGGTAGGAACACATGGAAGTTTAATGGGATCAAGTAGTAATAATAATCGTCGTAAAAATGCACCAACAGTACAAGTATATATATAATTATAATAATAGTTATTTGACATTATTTAATATTATAATATATAATTTATTAATAATTATTTAATATTAAGAATAAAAATATATAATTTTGAACTTTTAAAAATTATATAAATAATAAATAAATAACTTCAATATTTTATATAGTTACATAAATATCCAGATAATGCAATAATACGATGTACATTAGTTACATCTGATGAACATCAAAGA